CCAAAACATTTTTCTTCTACTTTGTTTTTATGCAAATGTAGAAGAAAAAGTTGTAACAAGATAAAATTTTACAAGGTTCAATAAAAAATACTTCTCTCTTTCTGATTTAGCTGTACGAACCTGTAGGGATCCTTGATGATTCCTCTGTAGGTCCACTTCTCCAGGATTTCAAAGTACGGGACGCTGGCTGCTTTAGTGAGGTAGAGGCACAGCTCCTGAGCCTGGCTATCGCCCGTGTAATTGAAGGTCCGGTCATGAAGAAGGCTCAGTGTCGCTCCGCCCATACATTCCCCTTTGTCCAAAGAAGAAGCTGAAAGATGTATTTTCACAGAAAACGGTTAGTGAGAGTCATTTCAGCTAGAGTTGCATGACTATTTTTATTTTAAAGGTCTTCTGAAGAACAGAAGATTGCTTTATTAAAAGCAGGTGTGCATTTTGTTGTTTGTGCCTGCAGTACCCTCTGGTGAGATCGTCAGGCAAAACAAACCTGGTTGAAACTGCAGACAGAAGCAGAGACTGCAGAGTCAAATATCAGACCAAAAAAAAAAAAAAAAAAAAAAAAAACGTTCTGCTTTTTACTGAGAGACCCCAAGATCTCCATGGTCCTCATGGTGGGTTGGATGTAGAACCAGAGTTTCTGCAGAGACAGAAGGCCTTGCCGCTGGAGGTGCTCCAGCTGAGTGACCAGGATCAGGTACTCCTTCATCAGGGTCCTCATCGCCGCCGTCAGCGCGTGGTTCACCTGGCCGTACTCAAACGACGATTTCTCCTCAATGAACCTGGAAAACACATTTAAGCAGGTCGAAAAGAATCAAGTTTAAAAGTTCAACCTTCTTAGTAACTCATCATTCCGCGCTATTTGGGGGGGATCTCTCGAAAACAGATCCAGTCAGTCAGCATGTGGATTATACTGAAACTTCACAGCAGAGTAAAATGTCTTATGAATGATTTTTCTGGATTCTGACACATTTTTCACGATTTTCCTGAGCTCTTAATCCTTAGTAGCTAATATATGCTATGGCTCTAAGTAAAGAAGACATTAGTTTTCTGAGAATGTTTTCTTGGAAGAAAAGTGACTAAACAGAAACCGCAGTAAATTAACAATTTCTGTAATTTTTAAGCTCTAATCATGTAACGTACCTGTAGGAAAACCAAAATTTGATTATTACAAGTGAAGAGAGAAGGACAGAGGAGCATAGTACAGAGATGACGCCATTAAAAGGAGTATTTACTTGGACAAGGGAAGTCCAAAATTACCTACATCTGAAGTTTTTTTTAACATAAACCAATAGATTTTAAGCGTTTGTTTCTGTTCCTGTTGATGATTACAGTGTAATCATGAAAATAACAACCTAAGACTCTGTTTCTTCTCTTTACCGTGTTATAGTTGAGTAATATGACGCGACTGGCAATATTCTGTTAACCAGCTCCTTGATGGACATGTCCAGCGTTGCATCAACTATAAAAGAGCGGTTCTGCCTCCCCAGTACAGGCTGAGCGGTGATGTCTCGTCCGTCCACCCCAACCAGGACGAACAGCAGATCCTCAACCACAAACTGCTCCTGAGAGGGGAGGGGCAACGTGCCTGGCCACAAGAGGTTAAAAAAAAAATTACACAGGAATCAGCACAGAAACACACAAGTGGCATAAATCAGGAGGACAGTCCGCTCTGTGTGTACCGATGGTGACGGCTTGATCTGCAGGAGCAGGGCTGGTGATGAAGTCTCCGATGAGAGCGGGACGGTCGTAGACCCAGTTAGGAAACACGGGGTTGGGCTGTGTGGGGTTCTTCTTGTTGTGTTTGTCTCTCAGCATCTTCCGTGTGACTTCAGCAGGCTAAGGTCACAAAAAAGTTAAACGCGACAAATTTTTGCTGGATTACAAATTGTTATTGCGATGTGGAGGATCTTCAGCATGGTCTGAATCTTTAAAAAGTCTGATTTCTTTTTTTTCCCTGACAAGTGATCAAATGAAATTAAACACTGCCAGGTTGTGCCCACACAAACACAACTCTTCAGTATGAATGTTGAAACTGCAGGAAGACGACTCAAGAGTTAGCAACGAGGTGTTAGAAAACTAAAGTCACATAAAGCACAGAGATGTAAGAATATATTTAAAAATGAATCTGTATTTTTTTGGCATTGTTTTGACATGTCACATGAGCATTTACACTTTAAGCAGAGACATCAAGTATGTGAGAGAGGTCGCTTTGAAAATATGGTTTTACTATCTTCTTTAACAGGCTTCAAGCGATTGATTTTTCACTCTCTTGCAGTGATAATGAGCTGTAAACATGTCATTAGATATCGTAAAAAAAAAAAAAAAAACTTCTTTTCATACATATCTGCGCTTCCTCCAACTTCATTTAAAACACGAGTAAAAAAAAAAAAAAATCTACCTCTGAAACATTTTTACTCAGTAACCATCCACACCTAAAACTGTTGTCATGGCAACCTGGTAGCTGTTACAAGATTTAGCTCAGTGACCGGAAAACGACCAGATTTTTTGAGCTGCCAACCAGTCAGGACCAAAGAAGATGAGAATCATCCGCCTCCAGTCACCAGACGATTTTATTTGATTTTTTTTTAACTCACCAAAGGGGCGTTGGAGCTGGCCGCCACATTGCCGAGCTTCTTCCGCAGTTCGTCCAGCTCCTGCATGGACATCTTTGTGGTGGTTTGAGGCAGAGTGTAACTGGTCACTGTGGTTGGGTTTGAAGACTCTGACCTCTCTTTGGCATTCTGTTGTAGAGACTGAAGTGTCTAAAATATAAACACAGCAAAAGCAGGTGGAAAGGTTACGGATGCTGAAAAACATTCTGTTTAGCAGTAAAATGTTTCTATGAAATGTTTGAAAAAAAGAAAACATAGAAAAAGAAAAATCACTCCAAATGTGCTGTGCTTTCACACGTTACCTCTTTATCCTCACAAAGTTTGGAGAGCAGATATACCAGAGGGTCAAGATTACGGACATTTTTGGACTTCAGCTCCTCGTATTTCCTCAGAAAGTCTTCAGGTGTTTTTGAGAACTCTGCTAATTTCACCTGAAAAATTATACAAGATAAATTTAATTTAAAAACAAAATATTTCCCTGGCAACATATCTCCAGAGTTTCCCCCAGTGTGTTATAAGCCTGGCAGTCCACCAGGCTTTACTTGTGCACCCATCAGGCTAAGAATCACTTATTTAAGGTTTTTTTTTTTTTTTTTTTAATGTTTGCATTTTTAAGACTTTATAGTTGGTGTTCAGATATTAATCTTCCAATCTTTTAATATCATCATTATCAAGTGATATTTTCAAATTTCTTGTCAACTTTAAACATTTTTTAACTCAAAACCACGACAGGCTGTTGCATGAATGACTGCCCGAGCGCCCCAACCACAGAATTTAGCAAGTTTCCGGAGGGAAACTGTGCATCTCCTTTCATTAATGAATGCAAAATCATATTTTAACTCTCAGTATAGTTTGTGATACCTAAGTGTACATCAAAATTTTGTTCAATTGAAAAATATATAAATATTAAAAAATTTTCAGAAGGCAGTAAAAGAAAACATCAACAAAAAATGACCAGCAAGTCACAGATGGATGTAACTGAACAGAGGATGCTTTTTGACCTCGTTTCTGTCCTCTTTACATTTCTCGTACTTGTGCTGGTTTGTGTGACCCACCTTGGCACTGTGAGCAGAGACTGTGGTGGTGACATAGGGAGTCCTGTGTTTCTGCAGCAGGTCGATATATCCCTCCGCCCCATCCCCTCCTCGGACCTGCAGGAGGCTGAGCAGCTCATTCACATCGTGGTGGATCCTGAATTCACTCATGATGGCTGTGGCAGCTGAAAGGAAGACATTTTATTATGTTTAAGAAGAGAGGTTGGGACTAGCTAAGCTCTACTTCAGAGAAACATCTGCACCAGAGCTGCTGATTCAAATGGACAATAGTCTTAGCAAGCTTATCCTAATATAACTGGATTCTAAACAATTTTAAAAGCTGTATGTTCTACTTAACGATAACGCGCAGCTGCAGTTTACGTTTTCTGATGCTAAAAAGCTAACTAGCCTGCAAGATGTAGCTGCTAAATAGTTGATAGCTTACCCAGTTAAGAAATAAAACAATAAACACCAAAATATAACAATATTATACCCTTTTCCTCAGCAGTAATATATATACAGCAAAACGCTAAGGTTGGTACAATACCTGTTGGTCGAATTAAATAACAGATTTCAACAGCAGAGCTACCAAACGCGCCCACCACCACTCAAATTCTCCTTCTTCGTTTAAAAACATCTCTATCTATTACTCAACACTGGCCTCTAGAGGTCAAAAACACACACTGCACGACTGTGCTCCATTTTCTGGTTTTATCAAGTTCTGAAAATACAATAACCATTTTAAATGTTGATGTTAGCAAATAGTAACAAGTTATTTGACTTCACAATTAACAGTTCTTGTAATCTTTTGAAAATTACATTTGAAGTTTTTAATACTAGTTATTTATTTTTATTTGTTGACTTGGTTTTGAGACAGACTTAAGTACAAGTGTAGATGTAATATTTTCTCTATTTTGTAGTGGTGTTCAACTGCTTATTGCACAGAAAATGAGTTGCAAACACAACTGCAACTCTGGTTATCTTTTATACTTAGCTTTCTTTCCTCACACAGCTTGCCTGTAATTTGCCTGTATTGCTCTGAACGACCAGCTTCCTTTGCAGTTACCTTTTTAGTGTTGTGTCAAATAAAGCAGTCTTGTCTGTGAATATAGATCATAATAACATACAGTTTCAGAATTAAAAATAAGTTTTTATTGGTCTTAATCTTAGTAATTGATACAATATTTTTCAGTTGAATTATGTAGTGTTATATTTTTTGTTGCACGTGTACCTTTGCAAAGAAAACCAAAAAATAATCACTGTGCAGAGTAAGCAAAGGACGCTTTTATTTTGAAAAACCATGACACAGAGGAAGTAAACAGTAATCACGTTACAACCCGGAAGAATTGCCCTTCTCTGAATAACGTTTGAATAGCAAAGAATGATCACTGTATCTTTGGAAGAACCGATTAACGACAGAACTGCAGCGGTCTTCCAGCTGCTAGTGGTCATATTTGTGTCCTAATCTGCGGTCTGTAGGTGGAGGCGGCAACGCCCTGATGCCCTCGGAGAACAATCCCCCCGTTCTGTTTACAACCAGTCGGCTGGGAGAAACTGGTTCCCCGCAGTGGGTCGTTAGCTAAACGGTTCTGCCGTGAGTGTTGTTTAGAAGGGGGGGAAAAATGGCTGAACTGCATGTCGTGGAACCGAGTGGAACGGCGACCATAGAGCAGCCCGAACATCGCGACGTTCGGGGTTCGATGCGTCTGGCGTCGCCCACTCTCTTGGTTCCTCCGCGGAGCAGCAGCCAGCTTAGCCCCGGCGGAGGAGGCAGCAGCGGGGGCAGCGGCAGGTCGGTGTTCGGCTTTCCGCTGAAGAGCAACCCAAGCTCGCCGTCCGAACCGTTAGACAAGCCAGGCTCACGGTGGGTTCGGCTTAATGTTGGCGGGACCTACTTCATCACGACCAAACAGACATTATGTAGGGATCCAAAGTCTTTCTTGTTCCGACTGTGTCAAGAAGATCCTGACCTGGATTCTGATAAAGTGAGTGCACTTAAAGATACTACATATTGGTGTTTTCTACCCTTTCTACCAATAAATGTAAATTAACAATTAAAAAAACATTAGATGATGAAGTAATTACTCCACAGGATTGCACAAAATATTTTTTATAAAGCACTCAAAATTAAACACTACTAATTGTCTGAAGAATTAGATTCTGAAGAATTTGAGTCGTAAAGGGTGCTGAAGGACACATATTACCCCAAAACACATGCTGTACTTTGGTATTGATCATAGTGTATTTTTCTGCTCTTCCAGACGGAATCATTTTATTTTCTTGATTGTTTTGTTTACATTTGACTAGCTATGCCCGCACATTATGGGGGAAATAGCATCACAAAGCTGTTTGTAGCCTGCTTCGTTTTTTTCCCATCTGCTTTATCTAGCACTCATAAAACAAATAAATGCTGCATTCCTCTTAAAACGCCTTAAAATGGCACAGTTTGTCAGTACAGCAGCACTCCTTCCAGTCTCTCACATAGTATTACTGGTATTACATCTAGCCATGTCAATGGTATGGGGCTGTTCTGCAAGTTCATGTGTGTTGAGGCTAACTGGTAGATTTGGGCTAATTGAAAGTTTGTAATAATCCTGGAGTTCTTTAGAAAACCAAACCTTTTGGTTTAAATGACTTTACTTGAAATTGTTGCTAAAGAAAAAGAAATCCGACCATTTGGCCCCCCTCACAAACTGCCCTGTAGTGTTTTGCCGTTGCCAATGTCAAAGTTCAAACATTTTTAGCCACAGCAACATGGTTAGCAAGTAAACAAAACGATGTTCTTTAAGTGCTTAAATATAATGGAGGGAAACAAATTGTCCACAGTTATTGATGATGTGTCAGTGTATGTATAAAATGCTGTTGGATCTATGGAAACTATGACTTTAACAAAAGAATGGAAACGATCAGATGCCAGGAAATTCCTTCCAGGACAGCTGAACTTTCACTGGATGATCTGAATCACTATAATTGATGGCAGATGTGAGCTGAAGAAGACTGAATGCTTAAACAGAATCATAAGATCCTTAAACAAAGCAGTAGTTTAAAGTAATCAGCAAACAAAAATACCTTTTTGTCTCCTTGTTTAAAAAACCCCCAAACAAAAACGTATTTGCGCCATTACTGGTCTTCAGTTCCACACTGATGCCATGCAGTCCATTGGTAAAGCTCTGGTTTTCCATGCGGTACAGTCAGAGCAAGATGACCAGTCACTATTGTGTGATTAATGACAGGACGAGACTGGAGCCTACCTTATCGACAGGGACCCCACGTACTTCGGCCCCATCCTGAATTACCTTCGACACGGAAAGCTGATCATGGATAAGAACCTGGCTGAGGAAGGTAACGCTTAACAGCATCTGACAGTGAACGCTGTAATCGGCGCCATCGGAAACTCTCGTTTTAAAATAATAATTTAAACGCACCAATGTTTTAGGCGTTCTCGAAGAAGCCGAGTTCTACAACATCGCCTCCCTGGTGAGGCTGGTCAAAGAGCGAATACGGGACAACGAGAACCGAACGTCTCAGGTAACGTGAGAGCAAACGGGCAACAGAGCAGTTGAACAGACTCATCTGTTGTGCAGAAACAACTTAAATAATTGTGAGCTTGCTTTCAGATGATTGATGTTTATTTGTGTGTGTGTGTGTGTGTGTGTGTGTGTGTGTGTGTGCGGCGTCCCTCAGGGCCCTGTGAAGCACGTGTATCGAGTACTGCAGTGCCAGGAGGAGGAACTCACACAGATGGTCTCAACCATGTCGGACGGTTGGAAATTTGAGCAGGTGCAGATAACGAAGCTTTGGCTTCGGGCATTTATTTTAAAGCTAATGCTTCGAAATTTTACATCAGATGCTTAAGCAAAATCTTTTAACTCCTAAATTTTATGCTCAAAGGTAACTATGTACCAGACATCCTGAACTTGATTAACTTCCTAGTTTACTTTTACATTTTTTAAATAAAAAGTGATATAGAAGTATAACTGTTGGGTTTTTTTTTTTTTTTTGTTTTTTGTTTTTTTTTTTTTCATCTCCAGCTCATCAGCATTGGCTCCTCCTACAACTATGGGAACGAGGACCAGGCAGAGTTTCTGTGTGTCGTTTCCCGGGAACTCAACAACTCGACGAATGGCATCGTTATCGAGCCCACAGAAAAAGCCAAGGTTGGTGTTTGGGAACTTTTAAGCAAGTAGCTGGACATGTGGATAATAAAAAAATCAGTTTTACCGACACTAAACTAAAACTTCCAATAATCTCAATAAAAAGTATGGATGCACAGATAACTTTGGGTGATCTATCAATGAAAATGATCAGTCAACCTTAATTTTCTAATTTTATCTACTTTGTCAAAGGTCTAAAAATCAACCTCTGTCCTCTTTTGCTTTGCCGTGAGACGGGTTTGACTGATAGACCGGTCCACCAGGTCATATCTCCACGTTTGCTACAGTAGTTACCTCACCGTTGCCAACTTAGCAACTTTCTTGCTATATTTAACAACATTTCAGACAAAAGAAATTGGCATCGGCAAAAATCTGAATGACAGGTCAGGCTTTTTTTTATTTTTATAACTGTATTTTTATTTTTGTTGATGTTATTTGAGTACACTCAAGAAGAAAGGTCAAACAATACATAGAAATTATAAAAGACAAAAAATACAGAACAATCAAAACAAAAATCACACACTAGGGGGAGACTCTTATTTTGGTAAAACAAAACACAACAATTCATATCCAAAATTAGTCGTGTATCGTTGATGTGAAGTTTGTCCATTTTTCCCATTTGTCCAGGCATTGCTGTTCCTGTGTCCTCAGTCTATGTGTTAGAATCTCCATCTCGAATAATGAGTTCACAGTCTGTATCCACTCCTTTGTGGTAGGAGGTTCAGATTTGCACCACTTTCTGGTTATCACCTTTTTGGCTGCCACCATCAGAATTTTTAACAAATAACAGTCATTATTAAGTACAATATTGTCCAAAAGACCAAGGTATAAAACCAGACCGGACTTAGGTATTGAGTAACCCAATATTGTTACAATCTTATTGTGTATTTTGTTCCAGAACTGTGTAATTCTAGGGCAAAGCCAGAAAATA